ATAATCTTAAACATATTTAACCTCTTTGAGACTGCTTCTCATGTGTAAAATAACAGACAGTTACTTTGGTTCCTTTGGCTTAGGGTTCTCAACAATTCTAGTACAGGCCTAGTTATAAAACTTTTTTTCTCAGGCTGATTCCTCTTTTTGCCTCTTTAAACGCTGGTGTACCCCATGGTTGTCAGTGACCAGCTTTTCCACTCTCCACATTCTTTCTCCAAGCATCTCATAAACTCTTTATTATGACTCTTCAAATTTATGCTGTAGCCCTAACTTCACTCTTAAAGCTCCAGATTTGAATTTTTATTTGTTGTACATGATTAACTAGATGTGCTACCAGCCCCTTAAAGGTATCAAGCAAACCAAAGAAATTATGTGTATGTGTACCAAACTTCTTTGTCAGTATGGCTTGTGATAAAAAACACAAGTTTTAGGATCAGATGTACCTGAATTTGAATCCCAGCTCTTTCATGTATTAGCCAAGAAACCTTGATCAGAATAATCTTGTCTCCATTTTTTCATGTATAAAATGGGGTTAAAAATAGTACTTATGCCCAGCCAGCATGGCTCGGCGGTTGAACATCAACCTAGGAACCAGGAGTTAAGAGGTTCGATTCCTGGTCAGGGCACATGCCCAGGTTGCTGGCTCAATCCTCCCTCCGTCCTTCCCTCTCTCCCTCTCCCTTCCTCTCTCTGAACTTAATAAAGACATATTTTAAAAAAATAGTGCTTACGATTCACATGGTTGTTGTATGTGCAAGTTTTATATCTACAGCCTAGTACAATACCTGGAATATGCTAACAGCTTGATAAATGTTAGTTACTATTATTATCAGTAGCATTACCATCTTCCTAGTCCTCCAGGATCTAATGGCTCAGTCATTTTTGATACACTGTCTTTTAAAAAAAAAAATCAATAAGTCAGCATTTGTATATTTGTATTTTCCAACATGATCTGTTTTTCATTCCTGCATAGATTATCATAGCCACCTAACCAGATTATTAGATTTTGTTTAAAGGTTAGAACCTCTTTTTATTTTTGTTTCCCCTATATTACCTAGCATAATGCCTAACACATAAAATTTTGCTATTAGACAACTTGTAAAATATTTACATTTATTTATTCCTCCACTGATCCCTTAAATTCTTTAAGGGCTGGGAGTGTCTTTGTACATCTATACCTGACAAAATCCCTTAGTCAATAAATGTTTGTTGAAAGAATGAATGTTGACTAGCCTATCTCCAAACCTATCATCAATCTAGCTACTGCATATGCAAAAGGTAGGTCTTATATTCTCTAATCCAACCATTTATTCTGACGAAACTGGCCTCACCACAACATTATCAAAAGCAGTCCCACTGTATTAGGACTCTTATTTTGTATGTAAAAATTATACTCAGATTAAGCAGAAAAGGGAATATGTGAGCCTGCGTATTTTGAAAGTCCAAGAGAGCACTAACTTAAGGCCTAGCTATTGATCGAAAGATTCATACAGATCCAAAGGCTCAAACACTGTCATCAGAATGTGGCTTCACTGTTTCCACCTTTTGGCTCTGCTTTCCATTTGTTGGCAACCACAGGGTTCAAAGTATGCCTCTTTCTCGATAGTCTGATAAAAAATTCAGAATAAAACTCCTGTGCTGACTGGAAAATATGCCCTTCTCTGAACAATCAATGTGGCCAGAGGGATGGGCAACACTGATTGGCTAGACCTAAGTCATGTGCACACCCTTGTGTAAGGGTGGGATCTACGTAACTGAAAGGGGTGGATCCCTAGGAAAATTGGAGTACAGTATTATTGTCAGAAGAAAGGGGAACACAAGACAGTCTGGCAAAATTAACTAATGTGCCTGATTCTCTAAGACTTTTTGGATGTCCACCAGTGCCTGGAAAGGCTTTCCTTCTCATTTTTGCCTACCCAAACCCAAGCTATACATCCTTTCCGCCCCAAAAGTCTGCTGTGATTTCTTCTAAGATTTTCCGTGTCCACTGAATCAATCACTCATTCCCAAATAAATATCTCCCTTTATCTAAAGCTCTACCTGTTTAAACAAACAGGAGGGAAAAAACTCCAGAAAATGAATTCTAATCATGTTAAATTATTAACAGTAGGGTAAGGTGTGCTGTTTCTAAGAGTGTAAACTCTTGAAGGACAGCAGCTCTACCAGATACATTCTATATACATTATGTAAGAATAAATTGTGGGGCAACTTTGATATGTACAGTATTCAAATAATTTTCTTGGCTTTAAATTTTCTATAGGGTCTAAACAAAACATATTAGCTAACATAGGTTGAATCTGAGTTGGTCAAAGTACTTGGTATAACAGGTAGACTATGGTTTTGGAGTTACCTCAAACTAGGCTTAAATCCTGGCTAATACCACCTTCCCTGGCCTTTAGCTACAGATATTTGAACAAATTATCTTATCTCTCCAAATCTTGGTTTTACTATTGGTAAAAACAAGAATGGTAAAACCTGTCTGTACATAAGGAGGCTATGTGGTATAGTGGAGAGAAAGAATTAGATGGACCCAGGCTGAAATTCTACCACTAATACTAATTATATGACTTTCTCTGAGTGGTTCTCATATGTAAAGTGTAGATAATAATATTTAACCCATTGGTGGTTAAGCATTTAACAAGGCAATGTATTTTATTTTACTTAAAAAAATTTTTTTTTTAATCCTCACCCAAGGATATTTTTTCCATT